CTTGTCAAATAGTTGTGTTGGTCACCATTGCTTTTGAAAGTAAAATTTTAATGTTTGAGCTCATTTATGCCCAAAAGAATGAAAGTACATAATTTGAATTTATGTAATGATGACAAATCTAATAGTTTTTTTGGTTAATACAAGTTGACTGTGTATTTCAACTTGTATATACATCTTCCCATACTGATATAAGATATTGAATTTCAGAATATACTTATGAAAAATAAATGAATTTAGGGTATTTTAGGGGTACAACATTTCTTATTTTGAATAAAATGCCAATTATGAGACCTATTTTTTTCTTATTGTTTCAGTGTGTTGTTTCCATGATACATTTTCATCTATAATAAGAAATTTAGCGCTAGCAGAGTATTCAACATTTTCATTATCGAATTTAATTGGATCTTTTGAATCAATTGATTGACCTTGTTGATATGAACATATATGAAGATTTCTGAAAATTCAGTGTCATTTTATGACATTGAAGCAATAAAAATATTTTATCAAGGTCTTTAGAAATACTGATTTCCATTTCTTGTACTCCATTTCCATTGTAAATTGAAGTGTAGTCATCAGCAAACATTTGTAATTCATCAAATAAATTTACTGTAGCCAAATAATTGGAATATATAAGAAACAAAACCAGTCAAAGTATTGATCCTTGCGGTAACCCACCTATTATTTTTTTAAACTGATTATGTCGCCAATATAGACATATTGCTTTCTATTCATTGAATAATTTTGAAATAAATTATTTCCATGATTCGTCTTATTATAAGGAATTCCGTTTATTGATTTCCATATGCACTTTGGAGCGGGGTTAAAAAAATTTTCTTCATAATATTTATTTTTGGCAATCCACTTTTTTTACCATTCTATTATCAGGATAACGTTTTAATATTTTCAGCTATTTTTTTCAATTTTCAATTGTATACGTTTTTTCAGGGATTTCATATTATTCTATACCTATAATATTAGACTATTAGACAATGGAAGTTCAAACTGATGAAATTCACCACGAAACATTGTCAATCACCTTCACACAAATGTGAACTTGCCAGTCTTTAAAAATTATCATTTTTGATGACACTGCCAATATTTATTTTAAAGCATACCATTACTGGAGATCCACCAGCTAAGAAATGATGCCACTCATGTGGGTCAATGTCCCCACGATCCATCAAAATGCGTATGCACAGAAGGAAAGCGAAATGGAGTTTATGTTTCTCGAACAAGCTTCTGCAAACATTACTGTAAAGGCTGAATGTGAAGAAATCATTGATGGTGGTTACTCTTTCAGTGATCAAGTCTGTAAAGAAAAGAAGTGTTACGATTTAAAAAAATTGTTCAGTGAGCAAAATGTCAGGTTGTTACAAAAAGTAGTTTCCGTAGTAATTTATGTCAAAAACCCTTCTATTCCTATATACATAGATGTCTTTTGAATGAAGGAATCGCTCGAAACTTTATCTCCTTGATTACATACGAATTGCTAATTGTCTGTGGTATACATTCAGACCCATCACAGACTCAATCACAATGAATGCACATTTGCATATTCATCAAATGTAAACTCCTTCATCAAATTGGAAATTTCATGGAAATGGAACACAAAGAAAACAGAGAAATATTCACGATTGAATCGCTCGCAAATAACTTCTTCAAATGAGAAATGTCAATGAAAAAGCAATTCCTAACAAGATCGAGTTTCGTGCTGAAACCATTTTACGATTTGAATGTAAAAGCGAAGAGGGAAAAAGGGTAAACATCTACTATTCTTGTTATCAACAATGTTTTATCGGAAATAGTGAAAAGTCTTCGTTTCCTTTCCGACTTCCTTTTTATTTGAACTATTTCTTCATTCATTCCAAGTAGCAGTCATGCTTTCATAACGTAATTCAATGGAAATGGGAAACAATCCTCAACACATAACAAAAACAAAAAAAATACATTGTCGTAATGTTTGTGACAGAACAGTCAAAGTCAGAAAATCTCTTGAGTAAGGAATTATTTGAAAACAATTTCAAATTCAAAAAAACACTTGAATAAGTAATATCAACTTTTTTTTCCAAATTTCTAAGAGATTTTGTATTCCTTTTTGTTTCAAGGTTTGATTATGAGGTTTGTATTGAATTATATTGAAACAGCTAGTTTTTTCTTATGTTATATTTATGAACATCTTTGATTTTATGATAAAATCGACCGATCTTTGATGAAAATTAATTATAACGTATTTGAAAAACTCACTTTGATGTGAGATTTCCAGTTGGAAGTTTACGAAACCGCGACACGTGTTTCTCTATTTAATAGCATCGTCAAACCAAACCAGAAGCCCTTTTTCCAAAAGAATAAAAGAGTGTGAGACTACAGCAAGCGCCAAACGTGATGGCGAGCCCACCCCCATGCGCACTAACTCATTTTCTTACAGGCTTGTAAAACATACAAATGTTCTGTACATACAGAGGCCTATCATTACTTGTCCTCCAATGCTGTTGGCGTTTGGCAATGTCTGAATAATTTGTGTTATTTCTGAAAAAATATCATCGCCTAACATAAAACCAGTCATCAAGAGTCAGGCACGTGAAATAATTTTTAAATTGTTCAACTATTTTCAAAGTGCTGAATGTGGGTCTACACGTTATCAAATGTAAAAAAATAAAACATCTCCCGCTACAGGTAACATTGAATAAATTTAAAAAATAACTATTCCAACACAAATCTTCATTTTGTATTGAGTATTTCAATAAAAACCATTGAAAGAGTGGTTATAGTTCGTTCAGTATTATCTGAGAGTAAAAGCAACATAGTCGCCTCAAGCAAATAGCACTGTAATTTACCCACAAAATCATTGTGATATGTCTACCCTAAAGATGGATGAAGTATACGAAACATCACCAGATAAGTATACAAATAGAATAGATTTCCGCGGTTAGAAATTTGAACATCTGATTTCGAGTTGAACCGCGTTCAAAATTTTACGTTTCGGCTTTGACTTTGACATTTTCAGGAATTAGAAAAGTGTGGCTGCACTGAGAGATACACTTTATATATTCTTGTTGGTTTGGAAATGAAGATTCATATTCCCTATAGGATTTTATAGTTGATTCAGAAACAATTTTATAGATTTATTGGGAATACTTACTTCGAATAAGACATTGCGATAATTTCAATCTGAAAAAAGTCTACAGTGTCACAGTGATAAGGCAGCAACCTACATTCCTTTAGTCTTCGCCATCTCATCGCTGACATACCTGACGGATTTTGACTCATGACGTTTAGCCAAGTTGAGGAGCTCCTCTTCTAACATGGTCGATTCAAAAGGAATAGCTTTCATTTGTAACCACTTAGTAATATCTGCTTTCTTCCAACACGACATCGGCAGCCTCTCCACTCATCTACTGTGGTAACTTGCGTTATCCATTACTATTACGGATCCCTGCGGAAGTTTTACAAGTATGTTTTCAAACCATTCTTCGAATACTGTGGCATCCATTTCTTGACGATAATCCCCATTTTTGTCCATTCAAATACCATCAGTCCATCTTTCACGAATCCTTCACTGCTGCCTATGTGAGTGATGATGAGACGACGACCTTTTCCAACTGGAAGTTTCAAACCAGTGGACCAACTTTTCATAAAAGTTTGTCTTCCACTTCTGATATTCTGATCTTGCCAAACCTTCGAGACGGTATGACCCTCATTGACCCATGTTTCATCTAAATAAAAAATAGATTAACTTTGTGCTCTGGCTTTCTTTATTTCTCTTAAATAGTTTCTTCTCCATTCCACAATCCCTAATTTTTCTATTAACATGCTCTTTCTATCTTGATTATCAAAAGTGAAATTCAGCTCATGTAATATTTTCCATAATCGAGTTCTTTTTATATCAGGAAAAAACTGTCTTCACGAATAACTGACAAAACTTTATTTAATGTAGGTATTTCGTTTTTTATGTAAAAAGAGTGTACTGTTGTTCACTTCTTCATCGATAACCAAACACTTTCTACCAGTAGATACTTTCGGCTCGAAAAAGTTGTTGTTTTCCTTCGGTTCCTTGAGAATTCTAAAAATTGTTGATCTATTGACACCGGTCATACTCGCACATTTTTGCAGTACATCCTCCCCCTTTTTTTTGGTACCTTGGGTGCTGTCTGACTTGTCTATTTAGTCCTTCCTCCTTACTTTTTATTTCGGGCGGATATTGTATTCTAAAAGAATTATATACATTCATAACAATTGTTTTTTCATTTATATTTAATGGTGACAATTTCGGACGCTTCACGATTCCCGAACAACTAGCTTCCATGTTGTATAGCTGTTCATTCAACGCGATCTCGAAGTAAACTGCAGAATATCACGAATAACCCTGCTAAAAAGCCAAGTCGGTCTTATTGATGGGTGTGATGTGTCTTTTGACAGTATAGTTCAGAAGAATATCTATTCATACCGCCTTCAAAAAAATAGTGTTTTTCAATCTCCTTCAACTGAATACCTATTTGTTGGAGAATGTCTTGGTTACTACTCGACATATTTTAACATTTATCATAGTAGATTTGTTATTTTGTTTGTAATGAATGATATTTTTCAAGAATATTGTATTTTCGTCGTATAAATTCATTTATTCAATTCGTTGAGAGTAAATAATTTGAATGCAGTAAGCATATGGCACTAAAATATATAGATATACTGCTGTAGTCTCTCTCATTTCTGAACAGATTTTAAATAAGGGGAGCAATTAATTTCTGCGAATAACAGAGAAGTAAAATTTTCCACCCCAAAAAAGAAGCGGCCTAGACAAGCACCAGTAACTGATATTCCCCTGTATAAGTATTTCAATATTAGACGGAT